TTTTACCTGGTTGGTTAAATTGAGTCTAATTTAGACCCTGCCCATTTAACCTGAAAAAAGGTGGCATAGTGTGTAATTCTGGTGCCACATAATGGGCATACTATTTGTTGATGTTGTATTGTGTTGTGTGTACACGGATGTGCTGTGTGCAAGACACTGAGTCATTGTAGAGTGTGGAGCCGATGAGCCCAGGTAAATGTGGGTTTGCTGCTGTAGTTTCCTGAAACCCTGTGCTCTTTGCAGTTGGCCCTGTCAGATCTCAGAGCAGATGGAAGGGTTACTGTGAGAAACTCTGCACACTGGTGTCCATCCTGCCTAGTGGGAGATGAGCAAAGCAGCCCTTTCTCCCATAGAATGCTTTGCAGACAGCACAGTGTTTGAAAGGGTTAACAGATCTCAGTATCTTGATATTAGGCCATTTTGAAAGTAAAACTGGCTCTCTCTGCACACCTGAACTTTGTTGGGGGTGAATCAGGCAATGTCTAAAGGGCTAGGTTGGAACTCCTGCTGTCATCCCTGGGTCTCCTGCTGTTGGGAGTGGAGTGTTCTCTGTGACTTTCAGGAAATGCGATTGTTTTGTAGAGGAACTTGTCACCTTTTCTTGCAGCAGGGTTTTGCCTGTGATGGATTGGATTATGATGCTGAATTTAAACTGAGAATTTACACTTAAATCTTTGTTTCTCTGAACTTTTAAGTGTATTTTTTTTTCTCCCTCACCTGCTAAGAAAGCTATCCTGATCACTGAAAGATCAAAAGTTACAGGGTTAGGGGCTGTGGGGGTGGCTCAGATGGGGACAGCCCCTTGCCACCAAGCCTGATAACCTGCCTTTTGATTCTTAGAACAGACATGTTGGAAGGAGAGGACTGTCTTGCTAAAATTGTCTGCCCTTTGATTCCCACATATGTGGTGTGGCATGCATCCCCCCATACATACACAAATACAGTTTTTAAAAAAAAGTGGTACTGTTTTGTTTGTTACTGTAGACTGATGTAGAAGTTAGTCCTGTTGCAGGGTTAAGGAAAAAAAAATATGGGCTGGAGAGATGGGTCAGCAACGGTTAAGAGCCCCTTTTGTTCTTGCTCACGACTTGGGTTCGGTTCCCAGCTTCCACATGGTGCTCCCAGCCATTCATGACTTGAGTTTCAGGGGACCTATGCCTTTTTTAAACTGTGGGTACTGCATGACACACGTATGCACTCAGGCAGAACACTCAAATAACCCCAAAACACCTCTCCCACAGACTATAAACTGATGGGTGTTTGGCCTGCATGTGCTTGTGAGCACTGTGTGTGCCTTCAGAGGCCAGAAGAGGGTGTCGAATTCCATTCCCTGTAACTGCAGTTGTGTGCTGTCATGTGGGTGCTGGGGATTGAACCTGGCTTCTCTGGAAGAGTAACTAGCCAGTTCCTTTAACCACTGGGCCATGTCTCCAGCCCTAATTTTGTGATTTTAAAGATAGAACTAAATTGGCCAGAGTGTAGTGCTGTGAGTTGAGTGTCTTTGAGTGCGGTTAGGACATACAGCTCTAAGGGTGTGTGTTATGTGAAGGCTCTGTGTGGCTGGGAGCACTTTTCCATGTCCAAGTATCCCCTGACAGTTTGTCTTTTCACTGTCTTGTGTAATTGGTAATTTAACAGTCAGGTACTGGGGGGGTGGGGTCATGTTGATGTAGTCACATGTCACTGTCTAGTTAGTGACTTACAGAATATCAAACACATTTGTGCAGTTAAAACCATATGGTTCTTACTGGAAACTGAATAATCTTAATATGCATTAAGTCCTAGTATGCTCTCAGTGTGAGGGCATTTTGAGTGAGGTGCCTGGTGTATGTGACTGAAGGTTCAGTGCTGCCTTTACAGGAGTGAAGATTTAAAAAATGTTTTTAAATAGACATTTTTTTGCAAAGTACTTTTTAACAAGCTTGGTGTGGTTAGAATACTTGTTTTCCTGGCAACCAAACAAACTTACATTGCAGTGATGTCCCTTCCCTTCAGTTCTCTGTCAGGAAATAATCTTTAAAGTGTTGGGATTCCTGTTCCTTCTGCACACCAGGAGGAAGGCTGGAGCCTTCTGGAAAAGCTGAGTTTGCTTGAACTCTTTCTTCAGGCAGAAGAGGGACCGTTTGTTAGGTAGCAATTACAGGAGAGAGCTGTTTTGATAAGTTCTGATACTAAGCCTATTGCAGTTCCTTAAAGATTGTAGTTGAGCAAATGGATTTGGATGCCTTAAGTATTCTGTTGCTTTACATTTGAGCAGGTTTGTGATTTTTCAGTGAGGAAGGGTGAGCACCTGCTGTCAGATTTTGATGGACCATGGGAGGGAACAAACTCAAGTGGTATAGTCTTCTTTTTCAGTGCTGGTGGAACCCCAGATCTACTCATGGTATGGCAGGCCAGTGCTCTGCAATTGACCACACTCTGGCCTCAACTCAGTGCATGGCTGTTGTGCTGGTCAGCTTTATAAGTGTGGGGAAAATAAACCTGACACATGCCTTTAATTCCAGTGTTTGGGAGGCAGAGGCAATTTCTGAGTCTGAGGCTAAGCCTAGTCTACACAGTGAATTCCAGGACAGCCAGGGCTATGTAGAGACCCTGTCTCAAACAACCCTCCACCCCCCCCCCCCCCCCCCCAAAAAAAAAAGAAAATCTTGGAGGGATGATTAATTTGTTGACAGCACTTGCTGCTCTTCTAGAGGACCTCTGTTCAATTCCCAGCACTTACCCCCGGTGGCTCACAACCACTTGTAACTCCAGCTCCAAGGAGTCTGACACCCACTTCTGCCCTGCCTCTGCAGGCACTGAGCACACACTTAGGAATAGAAATGCATCTTAAATTGTGTTATTGTCTTGGTTGCAGAGAGTGGGCATGGTGTGCTGGCCTTTTGACTCTCAAGAAGAAACCCTGTGAACACTTGCGTTCATTTTAGCATCAGGTCAGGAGTGTCAGGGACCATAGCCCAAGGAATGGTTGCTGCTTTGGCCCCTGCTTCCTGGTGAAGTCCTAAGTATCTCTTAGTTCATTGCCAGATCTCAGAGAAACAGCAGTGAGCCAGCCAGCCAGCAACTCCGTCCTTAGGGTCTTAGGATGCTTTTTTATATTTTATGCTATTTTTTAAAGATTTTATTTATTTATTATGTATACGACATTCTGCTTCCATGTATATCTGCACACCAGAAGAGGGCAGCAGATCTCATAACGGATGGTTGTAAGCCACCATGTGATTGCTGGGAATTGAACTCAGGACCTCTGGAAGAGCAGTCAGTGCTCTTAACCTCTGAGCCATCTCTCCAGCCCCGCTTTTTTATATTTTAAATCTTAGAAAATAATCTTCAAAATGATGGTAGAGAAAGATAATTGATCTTTATTTTTAAATTTGTTTTTCCTCATAGGATGGTTTTAGATTGAACTGAAGTCGCAGATGAACTGTGGTGGGTGGTGGTGAGCAGGAGCTGTGGGACAGGCTTCCACCTGAGCCTTCAAATGCCTAACTCAGGCTGTTTGGGGCTGCATCAGAACCTGCTCTGGAAGCTTCTCAGGAGGAAGTGCTTCTCACTTTGCTCTTCCCTTGTCTGTACCGCTCCGCGTTCACCTATGTGCATGTCTCAGGTGGCCATCTTTACAGCATCCTTACCTGGAACTGTAGCCTCTTCCCCTCAGGCAGCCGAGGAGTTCACAGATGAAAATAGGAACTCCCCCTCCCCCCAAGTAGCAAGAATACTTTATTCAAAACATAAGGACCATGCAGATTTGAACAGAACACACCACCGAGGAAGCAGGCTGCGTGAGTGAGGGTGCTCAGACACTTGCTGGGACTGTAAATTACCCTGCCCCCTAGGTTGGTGGCAGGTAAGGTAACTTGTAGAGAGGTAGGGTTCTTCCAAGAGCTTAGGCTTCACAGATCAGCGGTGCCCTCCCCTACTGTCCCCCCAGCTCAAGCAAGTTTGCTTTTAGCTTTTTTGAGGTAGGGTTTCCTCTATAGCCCAGGTTGGCCTGGAACTCATTATTTGATATAACTATTGCTTTTCTGCCATTTTTAAATAGTTATCTTAGAGCTTCAAAGAGGAAAGGACATCTAATAACTGACAGTTTTCAAACTAGAGAAAGGGGGTCGGCAGGGTGAGATCCCGAATTCCCAGAGTAGGCACCTAGTTCTTCAGTGAGCACACCCCCTGGTTCTGAGTGTCAGGTTAATGTGTAGAAATCTAAAATGGGGCCTGCGCTGAGATTGTTGCCAGGGCTTTGGTTGTGTGGTTCTGTCCTTAGCCATAGACAAGGTTTGGTGCTTGTCAACCTTACTGTAGTTTTAACCACAGGAAGTACCTGGGTTGGGTTGACTTTGCCCTGTGAAGGTCCTAACTTGGGCTAGAACTCGGGTCTCTGTTACGTCACAGGGTGGTAACCACTCCAGGTATTTGTCCTCCATTGTGATTGCAATAAAGGCAGAAACGAAGAAGATAAAGTTGTGCCCTGGAGCTCACAAGTGTGTAATGTAAAGAAGGGGGAGAGCCAGATTCTTGAGCATGCCGTGGGGTGGGACCCAGGAGGGAGGAGGACAGGCCCATGGCTGGTGGCCTTATGCTGTTCCCTTTGGGTGGAGTTAACCAACTTGTTAGGAGAGGCAGGACTATGTAAAAACAAGCCCTTTGTGTGCCATGAGGGACTCTGACTCGTAGGAGTTAATTCTACAAGAGTGGAAAGCCAGCCTCTGAAGCAGATCCCACAGAGTGCTAAGCCTGGTCCCCCCTTCCGGGCCAGTGCCCGAGTGGGAGGTGGGGTACAGAGTGGGAGGTGTGTGTTCTGATGGAAGAACGGGCTGCGTGGAGCCAGGTCTGTGGAGGCCTGTGAGAATGGGGACACCTGCAGTGAGAGGCTTCTGCATCTGATACTTTGTCATTTACCTTCTGAAGCGCAGCCTACCTGGCAGCATCCAGGGCCACAAACAGAGTCTTGAGCCAAGGTGAATGTGATTCTGAGGTGTGTCTGAATGGGGACCTGAGGAAAGGCTCCTGTGTTGTGTTCTGAGGGTGTAGACCTCTCTGTGACTGAGATACTGTGACCCCATGTAACCGCTTTGAGTTCTGGCTTTAGGGTATTAACTGAGGCAGTCTCACTTTGTCAGCTCATTTTCATAATTTACTTAGAGACAGGGTCTGCCTGTGTAGCTCTGGCTGTTGGGGAACTTGCTATATAGACTGGGCTGGCTTCAGATTCTCAGAGATCCACCTGCCTCTCCGGGGCACTGGGATTAAAGGTGCTTGCCACCATGCTGGGCTTTTGTAACTTTTATAGTCTGTGTGCATCTTGATGATGGCTGAAACAGCAGAATTGTAACAATTCTAAAACTTGACCTCTTGTTGTATTTATTTTTGAGACTGTCTTTTATGTTGATAAGGCTTACTTTGAACTCACCATGTATCTCAGTCTGGCTGGCCTGTCATAGCCATTCCCCATTTAAACTTGGCTTTTATATTTTGGTGAGCAGAGCTCTGGCTTAACCTCTCTTTCCTGGTTGAAATTCTACTCACTCAGTAAGTGTATCGGCTGGGAAATATGCTAATGATTTAATTAACAAACATGTTCAGCAGGATGCATTATGGATTAGTTAAAGGTGAGGCAATTGAGTCTAGTCCCTTTTTGTGGAAAAGTCCACGTGACTCATCGGCCGAGCCCTCTCTTTTGTTTTTTTGAGCCTTCCTTACCATGTCCTGTTTTTTCCTTCCAGAGTTTGGAAGTCCCTTGTCTTCACATTGCCGGGATCAGCATCTTGCTCAACTGAGCCACTCAGCCAATGGAGACAGAGAGAAGTAGTGCCCTGTTGCTGACTCCCGTCTGAATCACAGCACGGGGCAGCCAGGATACTGTGCTTGTGCAAAGACCCATCATCTCCATCACTGAGCTTTCCCCAGACTCCGGAATACACTCTCCCTCTGAACTTTAGTTACAAGCCCAGAGCTCCTGGAGGTTTGCGTGACGTCTCACAAGTGGCCTTATTCTGACTCCAGAGAGTCCCCAGTAGAAGGCTGGATTGTCCCTTCCTACCTGACCCTGAAGGGACAGGCACCATGCCAACTCAGTCCCTCCTCATGTACATGGATGGACCAGAAGTCATTGGTAGCTCTCTGGGTACCCAGATGGAGGTGGATGATGCTGTGTCCATCAAAGGGCCAGCTGCCGTCCCCTTCCGAGCTGCTCCGGAGAGGAGCATGACCCCAGCTGAAGGGCACATGCCCCTGGACTGCATGTTCTGCAGCCAGGCCTTCTCGCACGCAGAGGACCTCAATCAACATGTGCTCACGCAGCACCGGCCCACCCTCTGCGAGCCTGCCGTCCTGCGGGTGGAGGCCGAGTATCTAAGTCCTCTCGACAAAGGTCAGGTGCCAGCAGAACCACCCAAGGAGAAGAACTGCAAAGAGAACGAGGAGTTGAGCTGCGATGTGTGTGGGCAGACATTCCCAGGGGCTTTTGATGTTGAGAGCCACATGAAGAAACACAAGGACTCCTTCACATACGGGTGCAGCATGTGCGGGAGAAGGTTCAAGGAGCCGTGGTTCCTGAAGAACCACATGCGGACACACAATGGCAAGTCTGGCACCAGGAGCAAGTTGCAGCAGAGCCTGGAGAGCCCTGTCACCATCAATGAAGTTGTGCAGGCACACGTAGCTGGGAGTGTCTCCACTCCCTACAAGATCTGCATGGTGTGTGGCTTCCTCTTCCCAAACAAGCAGAGCCTCATTGAGCACAGTAAGGTTCACGCCAAAGAAACTGCCTCCAGTGCCACCAGCACAACCCCTGATGCTCAGCAAGAGGAGGGACCCATGCCCCCGAGGGAAGAGCTGCTTCAGTTTCTAAACTTGAGGCCCGTATCTCACCTGGAGACTACAGCAAAGCCCATCACCTGTATACCTCAGCTTGACCCATTCACCACCTACCAGGCATGGCAGCTGGCCACCAAAGGAAAAGTGGCCATTGCCCAAGAAGAGGTGAAAGAGTCAGGCCAAGAAGGAAGCACGGACAATGACGATTCGTGTTCAGAGAAAGAGGAACTTGGAGAAATTTGGATTGGGAATAAGTCGGAAGGTTCTGGAAAGTCCAAAACAAATAGAAGCAGTTGTCCAGGTCTCTCCCAAGACAAAGAGAAGCCTAGACATGCCAACAGTGAAGTGCCTTCTGGAGATGGAGATCCCAAGGTGCCCAGCAGCAAGGAGAAGCCCACACACTGCTCTGAGTGCAGTAAAGCCTTCAGGACCTACCACCAGCTTGTTCTACACTCCAGGGTGCACAAGAAGGACAGGAGGGCCGATGCCCCATCACCCACCATGTCTGTGGACGGAAGGCAGCCTGGGACTTGCTCCCCAGACCTTGCTACCACTCTGGAAGACAGTGGGACTGTGGACCGAGAAGGGGGCTCTGAAGACGGGTCTGAGGATGGCCTCCCTGAAGGGCTCCATTTGGGTGAGTACTCTACTGTTTCCCTGGCAGGGAGCATGGGAGCAAGTTGGACTTTCAGTCCTTTGTGGTATCATTCCGTGTAGTAAGCATCTCAGCCCTTCTTTCGTTTCTGTATTAATGGGGTGGAGTAAAAAAGCCTGTGCCAATCCTTTTTCTGAAAGGGCTCTGTACATTTTGCTCCCAGAAGACTCCAGTTTTTATAGCTAGTGCACCAGTGGGTCAAGACCGGGGAATGCTGTTCTTCTGAGGCACCGGAATGAGTCTGACAGTGACTTGGTGCAGGATCCTAGCAGTTCTGGGACTGAGACCCGGGACTTTTTCCCAGTTCTCTGGCAATCCTGTTCTTAATTTGTAAGACCAGGAGTGTCTGTCAAGGCCCTGTGTTTGTGTGTGTTCACAGGTTTCTAGTGGTCCCAGAAGGAGCAGGCTAGGCTTCTTAACCAGTCAGCTAGTCGTGCTGTGTGGGAATCCCCTGCTGCGCTCTGATCAGATCACCTTGGTGTTTGTGAGGCCAGTGTTGATGAGCGAGCTTCTGAAATGGTCTGTAGGTGAAATCTAGGCATGTGTGGGTCCACTTCAGGCCTGCTCCATGAATTTAGTGTTCTAATAGTGGTTATAGAAACAAGCTGTTGCCTAGGTTCTCATGATTGGGTGTGAGCCTCGAGCAAAGGAGTCCACCCACACTTGAACCGTTATCGCTGAGTGTGGGGGTCTGCTGCTTAAAGTAGTTCACACTTGTGATGTGTGCAGCATGGTCACAGGTTAATGGTGACACTTGCAGATGTGTTTGGCACTGCGAGGTGTGTTGGAGTCTGTGAGACCAGAGTGAGTCTGACAGTCACATCAGACCTGTCAACCACTGCATTTGAACCAGTAGCCAGGTTTTTTTCTGGCCTGCGATTGACCTGAAGACCTTTGCTTTCCTGACAGATGTCCAGTCAGTTGAGTTTCCAGGGGCAGTGGAAACCTAGAGGTTAGCATAGTCCCACTCCTCTCAGTCCCTAGAACCCCACAGGACACATGGTGTCCATGACATAAGAACAACCTCATAGGTGGCCTCTCTGCCTGTGCGGTTCCTGCAGGGTCCACACTGGTGATGCCCTCCAGCTCTCAGAGAAAGGAATCTCCCAGCCATTAGAGCTGGTGGGAAACTCTGGGGTCCTGAGGAAGGCTCCCTGGCCTGGCTTTCCACAAGTGGGAGTGCCAGGGTCTGGCTGTGGTTCCTGGTGACCCATTATACATTGCCCAAACTTTGCTTGCCATTTCCCTGTTTGCAAAATCAGCTTATCCACCTCAGGTACTCCTCCCTAGGATGAGTTCAGTATTGGTAGTAAAAGTTTGCAACTCTGTACAACAGCATAGTTCAATCTAGTTCTAGGTTAGAAGGCAGGCCCAGATGTTAGAAGTGTTTTTCAGTCTATACACCCTGACACAGCTGGAGACTGGGTAAGCTGTGAGCCTAGCTGTAAATGCAGTGGGACTATAAGGGCTTCATCCACTGTGCTGTCAGCCAGTTTGTTTCAGGTTTACTTTCAAGAAGGTCAGAGAGTCTGAAGTATTTTCACCATCTCTGGTACCATTTTAGGCCAGGAGTTGTCATACGGATCTCTTTTCCTGGTGGGGATTTGGTGTAAATGGAGATGGCATAGACCCATTCATTACACCTGCTCTTACCCAGGTATATGGACCAACCACTTTTGCAAATTAGTGAGAAGGTAGCTTGTGGCAGAACAGGGAAGAACGAGGCCTGTAATTGGAAATAAGTTTCATAAGGCAAAATGACCAGTTTAAATATGCCATCTTGAACCCAGGTGGGACCTGTGCATTTGTGATGGACCACACCTGCCTCATGGCCCTGATGGCTAGATTGCAAGAGGTGGCTATGCTGGAAAGGCTAGAAACTCACTGGGGGGAGGGGGGGAGTCTTATACCTTCAAGTTGGTGAGCTGGTGAGAGTGAAACCCTAGCCCTCTTTATCTTTAGTTGGCTCCTGTCTCTGGTGGTCCTGCACACCAGGCACTTCAGCCTTGCCTTTCCGGTAGATTCTAATGAGCCTGGTTTGTTTTGCCCACGAGATTGCTTGGAAACCATGAACTCCACCTTCCCAAACTTGGCTAAATTTTGATCAACTTTCTTAGGTACTTGCCCAAAGCCAAGCCAGGGTTTACTGTTGAAGTTATTTTGAGCTTGCTGCCCCCTAGTGGTAACTTCCTTAATTTCAAGCTATTTTCTGCCTCCAAATAAAATTACTGGTTCTGAGTAATGAGGTTTCTCTGGCTAGTGGGCATGTCCACGCAAGTATGAACCAGGTTCAATACATGTCAGGTTCTGTCTGTCAAATGTCATTGTGGTGATTTAGGGTGCAGACCCTGAGTATGCTAGGGCACCAGGCTGTGCTCTGAACACAGAAGAACAGAGTGTAGTGTTGGGCACACACCTTTAATCCCTACCGTAGGGAGGCAGACAGGAGGGTTTCTGAGACCGGAGCTAGTCAGGGCTATAGACTGAGACCTTGTCTCCAAAACAAAAAACAAAAGCACACAGTGTAAGATATGAAATACTGCCTTATGGCATTTGGTATGTTATTTTAGCCTTTGAAACTTCTACCCAGAACTAAAATAAATTATTTTATGGTTTTTTCCAAATGTTTTGTGTCAAGAATACCAGAGTCCACACGTCTGAATCATGTGCTTCGTCTGACTTACACAAATGTTTTTGTTTCTGCTTTAAGATAAAAATGATGATGGAGGAAAAGCAAAGCCCCTCACGTCCTCGAGAGAGTGTAGTTACTGTGGCAAGTTTTTCCGTTCAAACTATTACCTCAATATTCATCTCAGAACGCATACAGGTAAAGGGCTTGATTCTTAAAGCATGTGTTAGCTGAAACTATTATGTGCTGCTCTGTGGTTCAGATGGCTTAAGTGTGTGCTGTGTCCTCTAACATGGCAGCAGCCCGAACACTGGGTCCCGTTTTGAGGCTTACGTTTTGAGGTTTACGGCTGCCATATTCTGGCTCTCATCTTAAGGCAAACCTGCAATATTTTTAATGTCACATTCTTTCAAAACCGCTTTATGATTTTGGAATGAAGAGAGGGTGTATTTGTTGATGTTTGGATGAAGGTGCAGCAGTAGCGTGGGTTAGGAAGTTGTGAGCCTGCCTTGTGGCTTGGGAGCACTGATAACAATCCCCGTGCTCCTATTTCCTTCGCTGTGAAATGTGCAGACTCTGCCATCGGGCAGCAGTGAAGGTCAGTTCAGTAAAAGCGTGCCGTGAGCTTTTCCTGGGAAAGACAGGTTTAAGTGAGTGTTGAGCACACTGGGGCGTGAGCTGTCCTAGATAGATACGAAGATTGGTCGATAGGGAGCAGCCCATGGTTTGTGTCATGGCTTGGCTAGCTTGCAGAGTTTATTGATGTCTTTCCTAAACATCATCTTACACTGGCTTATCTCGTTCTAGGTGAAAAACCGTACAAATGTGAATTCTGTGAGTATGCCGCAGCCCAGAAGACATCTCTGAGATACCACTTAGAGAGACATCACAAGGACAAGCAGCTGGTGGACGCTGCGGCTGAGGTCAAAAGCGAAGGCCGGAGCCAGGAGCCCCAGGAAGCACTACTAACTGCCGACAGTGTGCAGACCAAAAATTTAAAGCGCTTTCTTGATGGTGCCAAAGATGTTAAGGGCAACCCATCTGCCAAGCAGCTTAAGGAGATGCCGTCTGTTTTCCAGAGTGTTTTGGGCAGCACTGTCCTCTCACCAGCACACAAGGATACTCAGGATTTCCATAAACATACAGCCGATGATGGCGAGAAAGTGCGAAAGAGTCCTGCCCCTGCTTATCTGGACATGACGAAAAAGAGAGCAGCAGGCGAGCCTCAGGCCAGCAGCCCTGCCTGCAAACTAGAGGGGGCTGGGCCCCTGGCACGGGAAGCTGCCCATAGGGAGAAGATGGAGTGGGAGGCTGACTGCAAATACAAGCCTGGTGCTGACTGCCAGGACAGTCCTTTGAATCTGTCCCTTGGGCCACTCCACGCCTCTCCTGCCATCACCCTTAACAAGTGTCTCATTCCTAGCATCTCCTGCCCCTTTTGTACTTTTAAGACCTTTTATCCAGAAGTTCTGCTGATGCACCAGAGACTGGAGCACAGGTGGCACCCTGACACCCCCAAGAACTGTGGCAAGTCAGTGTCCAGGAGCCGGCGGACAGGCTGTCCTCCTGCCTTGCTGGGCAAAGATGTGCCTCCCTTGTCTGGCCCGCACAAGCCAAAGGTCAAGCCTGCTTTCTCATCACAGGCCAAGTCCCTGCACCCAGAGAAGGTCCGACAGGGCTCCTCGGGGCCAGGCAAAGCTCCCCAGACATCAGGGCCAGACAGCAGCACTTTAGCCCCAAGTAACCTGAAGTCACACAGGTCACAGCCTAGTACCGGGGGTCCTGGGGCCACCAGGCAGCAGCAGTCAGATCTGTTTCCCAAAGGTGGCAGTGTCTCTGCTGCTGCAGATAAGGTGAAGAGACCCGAGCCGAAGCTCAAGGCCCCGCCAACTGCCCCATCTCAGTCCCCCCTCGGCAGTAGTAATGGCAATGGCTCCATCGAGTATTCTGTGAAGGTTGATGGCCCGTGGGTGCCACAAGGGAGAGACTACTACTGCCATCGGAATGCTGGCAGTGCCACAGCAGAATTCACTGAACCACATCCTAAAAGACTCAAATCCAGTGTGATGGCCCTGGACACAGAACATTCTGGGCCCAACGGCAGGAGGGGCTTTGAGCTCCCCAAGTACCACGTGGCCAGGAGTATCACCTCGCTGTTACCATCAGAGTGTGTGCGCCCATCACCTGTGCTGCTCCCCAAAGCCCGCTTCCTGAGCCCTGGGGAGGTGGAGTCGCCCAGTGTGTTGACTGTGCAGAAGCCCTACAGCACCTCTGGACCTCTGTATAACTGTGGACCTGTGGGGCACGCAGGAGCCAGCCCGACCCTTGAAGGTATGACCATAGGCACATGTACCATAGGGACCCTAAGGTCTCGGGTGCAAGCAAGCATTCTTCCATATGTAACACTGCAATGTCTTCTGGGCCTTCAGAGCTTAACTTTGCAGGATTAAGTTTTGAGTTTCTCTTAAGGAAATGATAAAAGAATAAAAAAAGAATAAAACAGAAATTAAACTAAAAATAGTTCCTTCCCTGGTGCCGAAGTCTAGATACCAGCTGGGCACGGTGGTGCATGTCTGTCATCCCAGCACTGGGTGACTGAGGCATTGGAGATAGCCTGGGTTACATAGACCGCTCCCAAGAAAAAACAAAACATGAGTGCCCCTGAGACCCTGCTTAGGCCCTTTGTTACGATCCTCTTCTCCTGACCTATGGTGTGATTTGGGGTTCTTCTATGTGACACTGGCACACTGCTTGTCTGCTCTTGGCTGTCCCTGATGAGGTTATCTTGTGTGTAATGGTGTCTAGTGGATGACTTTGGAGTCCTTTCATGGAGCTTTCCAGTGCTTAGAGGAAAGTAGACTCCGGGTCTCTTGAAGACTTGTGTAAAGCATAGTATTGCGGGTTTGTGCTTTTCCAAAGAGACATCCATAGTCAAACCCTTAGTGTTGGAGTGAGTTCAAGAGGCAGAGGGTTGGCTTGGGAGGATAGTGTGTACCACTTAACTTACACTGTAAAGCCCTGAGAAGTACTCTTGGTGTCCTGTGTTCTGGGTACTTCCTGCTGGAGCAAAAACAAGTGTTTTCATCTACTTGAGTGGATTGTATTAAAAGTTGTGAAGTAGGAATGTGTGCTTTTTGTGGGTGTAGGCTGTCAAATCCAGGGCCTGCTGCTGCCTGCTTTTTTTTTTTTCCTTCGGTTTTTTGAGACAGGGGTTCTCTTTGGCTTTGGAGACTGTCCTGGAACTAGCTCTTGTAGACCAGGCTGGTCTCGAACTCAGAGAGATCCACCTGCCTCTGCCTCCGTCTCCCGAGTGCTGGGATTAAAGGCATGCGCCACCACTGCCCAGCAGTGTTGCGTGCTTTTGGCAAAAACTCCACCAGCTGAGCTTCCGTATCCTACCCCTGAGGAGGTGGTTTTGCTGCCTGTGGGTATAGCGCCCAGGATTCCACGGTCTTTGAACATGTTTTTAACCCTTTCCTGTGGGTTCTACAGAGTTTTGGTTTATGAGATGTGTAGGCTTACGTGTGCTGTTTGTTTACTGTGTGTGTAATGTGTGTATAGACACTGGGATTGGGTCTGTTCCTCAAGTCTCCAGTCTAATGCAGTAAGGGCCTTAACTGACGGAGCCATCTTGTTGTGCCCAGTGTAAGTAAGTGTGCGTGCCTGCTTGCCCATTATTTGTTTGTTGAGGCAGGATCTCACTGTGCAGCCCTGGCTGTCTTGGAACTCACTCTGTAGACAAGGCCAGCCTCAATCTTCTAGCCATCCCTCTTGCTCTGCCTCTTAAGTGCTGGAATTAAGGGTGAGTGCCAGCAGGATGTTGATTTCTTTTAAAAATCAGACCTCTTTTTAAGAGAAGGTCTGATTTTGTACCCCTGGTTGGCCTTGAACTTGCTTTGTAACCTAGGTTGGCCTTAGTAGGTATCTTCCTGTCTCCACCTCAGCCTCTGGGATTAAAGGTTGTGCACCACTGTTGTCCTTTCTTAGTCTCTGGTGAGTGTTGTAAAAATACAGCTGTAGACACCTGCTTCCTAGACTGAGCCTGGACTTCCGGTAGTGTTGCTGTGCTGGACTCCGAGTGACTTCTTCCTTTCTCTTCAATTAGGAAAGAGGCCTGTGTCGTATCAGCAGCTATCCAGCAGCATGCTGCAGAAGAGAAGCTATGAGAATTGTATTGGAAATACACATCATCGACCAAATGACAAAAAAACTTGATTTCTGATTTTTTGGGAAAAAGGTGAGCATTATATTGGTTAATTTCCTTCCTTCCTTCCTTCCTTCCTTCCTTCCTTCCTTCCTTCCTTTCTTTCTTTCTTTCTTAAAGATTTTATTTATTATGCATATAACATTCTGCTTCCATGTATATCTGCACACCAGAAGAGGGCATCAGATCTCATAAGGGATGGTTGTGAGCCACCAGATCTCATAAGGGATGGTTGTGAGCCACCATGTGGTTGCTGGGAATTGAACTCCAGGACCTCTGGAAGAACAGCCAGTGCTCTTAACATCTGAGCCATCTTTCCAGCCCCGGTTACTTTTCTTTTTATTTTTTTTTTTATTTATCTTTAAAAAATTAATAATTGTTATTTTGAAAATTATGTTTGTTGATTGATTTGTGTGCTGTGGGAGTATGTGTAGAGTGTCTTTTTTTTTGGTTTTTCGAGACAGGGTTTCCCTGTGGCTTTGGAGGCTCACCTGGAACTAGCTCTTGTAGACCAGGCTAGACTCGAACTCACCGAGGTCCACCTGCCTCTGCCTCCTGAGTGCTGGGATTAAAGGCGTGCACCACCACTGCCCGGCTGTGTAGAGCATCTTTAGGGAGTTCGGTTTTTCCTTCTATGGCCAGCGATTGCTCAACTCTCAGGCACGGCAGCAGGTGCCTGTACTGGATAAACCATCTAACTGGCCCGTTGTTATAGTTACAGTACTCAGGGACTGTGGGTGTCTGGCAGTAATGAAATAGTCACAGTAACCTGTGAAGTGTAGTGAGTCCTCACCGTGTAGTGAGCATCTAACAAACTGCACTGTAGTCCTCACTGCAGCCAGACCATTAGGTTAGCCTCCCCAACGGCGGCTGCTGCTTGAAAAAGAGGTTGGGTTGGGATGTGCGCACCTTGTTTTTACTCCCAGTCCCATAGCTGCCCTCCTGCTACAAGAGCAGAGTTGGTGTGTAACCCAGTGACCAAGGGTTACCATAGGCCTGCTGAAAATAGACAAGGCTCCTGCGCTGGCTGAGAGCCACATACTCATTCCAAGCCAGCTTGAGGAGACAGGCTTGACCTGTGTGGCTTCCCAGATTCCCTCCTCTTCCTGGCCTTGTTTTGGCTTCACATAGAACTGCGCTCTCCTTGGTTGAGAGCTGATTCAGAGCATTCAGAAGTCTAGAGTTCTCTGTTCCAGGAAGGGAACTGGGGACAGGGGCAAGCAGAGGTGTATTTTGGCTCTGGGCTAAAGAAGTCAGCTGTGTATGGCAGGGTGGCATTGTCAGCACTGCATGCCTGTTTAGATGTCTAGATGTCACAGCCTGGGTAGCTGCCATGCCAGGATGCCTCTTAGGCTTGGGAATCTGAGCACTGCAGTTAAATGGCTGGATGGGGCTCCAGGATGGAGGCCTCCCTCTCTAGAGAGTCCCATGAAACCGTCCTGTGTGTACGTGGATGGGGCCTGCATGCCAAGAGGAGATGATCCAGCTTCAGGGAATGGGGCCTTTTTCAAAGTACTGGTTTGGTTTTCTTTTTCCAAGTAGGGAACAGGGTCTTGCTGTAAAGCCTAGGCTGGCTTTGAACTTGGTGATCCTGCTTTCTTCACTTTCCTTGGTCCTGGTATTACAGAAGTGAGCCATCACACCTAGGTAACCCTTCTGATTTTGTGACAGTTGTGGTTGCCAGATGTGATGTAATGAGCTCTGGCTATTGGTGTAATCATCTCATTCCCCTGAGTAGTCCATCAACACATAATTTAGTCTCCAGCTGTGTAGGTTGTGAAATTGGAGCGGAAGTGTAATCCTTTGCACTTGTTGGTTCCCCTAGTTGACTTGTTATCTTTTAAAGTACTGTGTGTGTGTGTGTGTGTGTGTGTGTGTGTGTATCTATCTCTCTATAAGTGCATACCATGTGAGTGCAGTCCTGGTGTTCAAAAGCGGGTATTTGAGCCACTAGAGCTGGAGCTACAGGCAACTGTGAGCCTCCCGACGTGGGTGCTGGGAAGCAGACTCGGGTCCTCGGGGAAAAGCCAGTGCTGGTAACTGTAGAACCGTGTGTCCTGCTTAGTCCTTACGACCCTTTAACAGTGTGCTTTTTCCTAATCACTTTGAACCCATTCCCCTTAGGTCTCGCCGATGCAAGTACACAATTCCCACGGAATCACACTTTGGTTCATCTTGTGCAAGCGCGTGGTGAGAGCTACTGAAGAAGCTGTGACTGAATTGTACATAGACTCCAAGAGCAGAGAAGGAACACTACATTCTCTAAAGTTCTGTTAACTTTTGTACCAAATAGCAATAAAAACTAGTGGGAGCAGTTGGGCTATACACAAATGGGACTACAAATTTACTTTGTCCCTAAATATTTTTTTAAAGAATTGACCAAATATGTTTTTGCATACTTGAGCGCTGCTGAAAAGAAATCATTGGGGGTAGGGTGGGGTGGGGAGGGGACCGACGTAATGCTCGCACCTCAGGTAATTGTAAATACCTATGTTGTAAACTTGCTTAAGTACTGTGTGTATTTCTTTCCCTCATGGAGCTCAATGATTTGAGCAGTTTGTGCTTCTTTATGCTTTTTCATTGAAAGTGTGTTTTAAAGCAAATTCTCTTTGCTCTGTATTATGTTGAGTCCTCCACAGTCTCTTGTTTGTCTGAACACAGTTGTTGATGGAAGTGTCAGCATCTGAAGGTGCCCTGTGCGTCTTGAGGTCAGCAGCACTGCACCTGGCACCTTTCATCAGCTGTTGTGAGCTAGTCAACGAGGAGGATAGAGAGACAGCATTGTCTTCCTGTGTCAGCAGGTTGTTCTGGAACCCTAGCATCCTGCCTCAGGGTGGCCTGTGGTGCTTATGAGCGAGCGAGTGAGCGAGCCTACAGAGAAGCCATCACTCTGTAGAGTGACAGATGTTGAGTGGACGAGCCAGGCTTCATAGGGAGCTATCTCAGTTCTTCATGTCTGTTGTAAGATTCAGTTTCTTGGAGAGTTGTCTGAGTTAAGTCTAGATAAATATGCCAAATTTCCTTGTGTGAATTGCATGCTGGGAAGCAATTTTAAAGGGAGTGAAAGGTTTGGGGAAATCTTTTAGTTTGTATCTGGAGTCCTGGTGTGTCTGATGTGAAGTGGTGAGGAACTGCTGGCTGAGTGAGCCTCCCGGGAGGCAGGGAGAGAGAAGCTGCTGCACAAGCCCCTTGTCTCTCTCCCAGTTTGGTTTCACAGCCAGGGCGATTGCTTCAGCAGTGCCCAGGCAGTTTGGGATTGAGGGATGACAGCCACCAGCTGGTTCACTCAGCATTTTAAACTTGAGTTCCTTTGATGCCTTGAGTTTATTCAACAGTTCATGGGTTTAGCAAACCCAGAATCTTTTATTAAGAAACTGTTTGAGAAGTTTGCACTGCTCGGTCTCCTTGCCCTGCCCCTCTTGGTAGGACAAAAGGGTGAAGAGCTCAAAGACCCCAACGGCTCCCCACTTTGATTGTGTGACATGGGGGTCCTTAGGAGGCCTATGTGAGGTCCCTAAGGAGACCGTATGTACCTCCTGTGTTGAAGGGAGAGCTGGGTTGAGACGTGTCTGCTCTTGCAGACAGTGTGTTTGTATCAGGAACCGTGTACACTAGGCCCTGTTCCCGTCCACAAGCTGAGCCATATGTACATAATCTAGACTGTTTTGTTAGGTTCTGCACTTTTATAGCCTATTTTTGAAGATTAACACATTTGCAAGATGATTGACTCAATCTTTGCCTAAATCCAGCGAGTGTACAGGAAGCTCGCAGAGATGGTAAATGTAAGTCTTGGGGGTATATACAGTAGGGAGCAAGATTAAACCTGTATTAAAAAAATCACCAAATCTATTAGAAAACAAGTCAACGGTGTGATGTTGAAATTTTGGGGGCTTTCAGATTTCTCTAGTTAAATTTTCTGAATGCATAAAAATTCCAGGTTTTTTTGTTTTGTTTTTAAACAGCCCTTTGTACTTCACAGTGTGTTCTTGCCATCAGTATTAACTCTTGGGATACTACTGGCTTTGTGTGTCTTCCCTTTGAGGCAACAGTACATGTGATAGAGGTACAATTCGTTGGATTTTTGTTAATGTATTTATTTCATTCCAGTTTGATTTATTTTAATTGTTGACACTTAAGTTGTCAGACTGTAGACATGCTTTATTTATGATATATTTCAGCTTAAAGTTATGTTATTATATGTGGATGTAAATATAGATTTGGTGTTTTACAGTTTTGGTGTTCTGGTTTTTATTGTGTTTTCTCTCTGTGTATGGTGTGTGTGTGTGTGTGTGTGTGTGTGGGTGTATCGGCTAGGGGCTAGTTTTCTTCTTCCTGTGGGTTCTGGAAGAAAAATTACCTAAACTTAAGTCCTTAGGCTGCAGTTGGGCCTTACACACTGAACCACCTTGCTGGCCTTAGGCCCTGGTTCCTGTCTTAAATTTAACTTTTGCTTGCTTGTTTTTGTTGACAAGGTTTCTCTGTATATCCCTAGCTGTCCTGTAACTCACTCTGTAGACCGCGCTGGCCTGGAGCTCACAGAGATCCACCTGCCTCTGCCTCCCGAGTGCTGGGATTAAAGGTGTGCACCACCATCGCTGGGCTTGCTTGTTTTGTGTATGTACACATGGATGTTAGAAGAGGATGTTGCATCCCCTAGAACTGGAGTTATGACGGTTGTGAAGCCACCATGCAGGTGTCGAGTACAGAACCCTGTCCTCTGCAGGAACAGCCAGTGCTCTCAACCCCTGGCCCATCTCCTGCTTTTTTCTTTGTTTTTTAAACTTCTGTTTTTATTCTGTGTCAGGGTGGTATGCAGTGTGGTGTGCGTGTGGAGGTTGGAAGACAGCCTTCAGGGGTTGCTTCTTTATTTCCACCATGTGGAAGGACCTGGGGATCAGATGGATCCTCCCCCACCCCCTGGCCTGTGGGATGAGGGTTTGGGTCTCAGTGCTTTCCAGCCTGCTTCCCAGATTTATTCTGAGCATGCCCTGAACACACATGGCCCAGGTGCCCATCAGACTAGCATGTGGCTTGGGTTGGCTTCGAACTTGCTCTCCTGCCACTGCTTCCCTAGTCCTGGGATTACTTGTTCAGTTTTTCCTGGGTTGTGGGAAAGCAAACCTCAGATGTAGTTTAATCTCTGAGCCACGTGAATGTGCGTCTCTAGCAGATGAAGACTAAAATGTTTATAAAGGTTATTGTACGTGAGTGTTTTGCCTGCATGGATGTGTATGTACCACATGTTCGCCCCATGTGTGCTCTAGGCACACAAGAGGTCATGGGATACCCCAGAACCGGAGTTAAAAGGATGGCTGTGAGCTACCATGTGGGTGCCAGGAATCGAACTGAGGTCCTCCTGCTGGGCCAGCTCTCCAGCCACTGTGGGACCAGATGTTTCTCACTACCAACCTCTGCCAGTCTGTGTATCTTCGCTTGTGGCGTTTCAGAAATATCTTCTGACATAAGGCCCATTGCTGATAAGTCAAAGGAGCTACCTCTTAGTAAGGCAGGCAGTTGGTGGGTCTTGAACCACTATTTTTTTCCAGCCCCCTTCCCATGACACTGGGAAGACTACTGAAGAGACTAGGGCCTTGTCCTGAGTGAGATTTCATTGTGTCAGTTCAGGGTTTATTGCCCTTTTCTCTGACCCATATTAGTGAACCGACAAGTTTAAACCTCAGGTTGGATTTGGGTTTAGTTTTTCTGGAATAAAGTGAATTCCTCCTGCTATTTCTAGTCCATGAGTCAGATTGATGCTATTATAAAGTTGCCCTCCTTTCTGCTTAAGTTTTCAGTGGCCAAAATCAAAGCTGGGAATGTGGAAAACATGTTTATAAAAGTTCCATGGGGCTGGTGAGATGGGTCAGTGTGGGTAGAGAAAATTCCTGCCAAGCTGATGGCTTGGGTTGGATGCCTGGAGCCCATGTGGTAGAAGGAGAGAAGCAACACTTGCAAGTTGTCCTCTGGATTCAACACACATACTTACTTAAGAAAAAGCTTTGGACCGATGAGATGGCTGAATGGGAGAAGCTTTTGCCCTCTAACCTGATTACCTGAGTTTAATCCCTGAACCCCATAAACATACACGCGAAGTCACATAAATACAACTAATAATAGAAATGTATTAGATTCCATTGTTCCTTCATGACCTGTTGATAGACCATGGAAGTGGGGCTTGGGAATTGAGGCCAATAGCCCTCGCACTGGGAAGGATGAAGCAGGGCGATTGTGAATTCCAGGCCAGTTTGGGTAACTCAAGGAGATCCTGTCTGTAAGTAACAAAAACAGGACCCCCTAACTTGCTTTGTGACTCTGAAGTACAGTTTGAACAAAGACTAAATTCCTCTCTGCTGCCTCCTGACTTCCAGCCCCTTGGCCTTCAGCAGTGAAAGTGGCCCAGGAATGAATGTGTTAACTGTGACAGTGTTTTAAGTGACTGACCATGCTGAAGCCCAGAGTCTCCTGTCTGGTCAATGGCAGTGTCCTGTGGCCCAAGTTTGTTGAGAGTGCTGTGGCATCACCCTTTTGCTGTGACCAGACCTTCTGATTTCATCTTGGATTCTTATAAAGTATTATTATAAAGTTAAAAAAGTTTAAAGAATTTCCGTGTGTTTAGACACCCACAGGGGCTTGAGTTTCAGGAGGTTGTCAGCTACTCCGTGTGGGTGCAAACACTCATGATCACCCAGCCATTCAGCCCACCCTTCCCTTTTTAAAAAGATTTATTTTATTTGCAATTGGGCATCGTGTATGTGAACACAATACCCATGGGGGCATTAGATTCGTGGAGTCACAGATCTGATCTGCCAGAGGTGGCTGCTGGCTGTGGAACCGCGGGTCCTCTGGAAAAGCAGTTAGTGCTTTTAACCACTGAGCTGTCTTTCCAGCCCTCAAATTCTTAATTATGTGTACAAGACGGCAGGTGCCACAGGCCGGAGCATCTTCACTGCAAGCACTGCAAAGGGTCCCGTTTTCTCCATGAGAGGTGGAGGTCAGGATTCACTGGAGCTGGGGAGGGTTGGTGCTCCTGGGGCCTGGGCTCCTGCATCATTTTGATGTTGGGAACATGAAAATAGAGATAAGTCTTTATTTCTCACTCACTTGCTCTCTCCCTTTTCTTTCCTTCCTTTTCTTTCTTTTTCTCCCTCCTTCCCCTTGTCTTTTTCTCCTTTCTCCCTTTTTTTCTCCCTCCCTCCCTCCCCCCTCTCTCTCCCACATCTTTTCTTATTTTTCTAAAAGGGTGTGGAGCACACATCTTAGTGAATTATATACAGCTCTTGTCCATTCATGATGTAGAGTCTTACTTTCCATATTGATCCGAACACCCCACAAACATCCTCCTGGAAGGACAGCACAGGGAAGGTCACGGCATCTCCACCTGTGTATCCAAGCCACCCTGCCCAACCAGCTGAATGTAATTAACTGCTCTAATTGTATGGGGGGGACACCCTGGGAAAGGCTGGAGTCTGATGGTAGGGAAGGGTTTCGGATGGGACCCCATCTATGCAGCCCTGGGGATGCAATCATCCCTGTGGATAGACCTTCCGGTGAGGCTGTTTTAAGGTCACCCATACTCCCCAGAGTGAACTTTGGTGGCATCACACTTTGGTTTGTCATTGGGAATTTTAGTAGCACAGTGCATGCCTGTAATCCCAGCACCCAGGAGGCGGAAGCAGGTGTAATGCCTATGCTTTGAGTTTGAGCCCTAAAAACCATAATTTTGTTGGACAGCTTAGCTTGGGGAACAACCCTGTACTACACACCTCCACACCCAATGTATATGGGTCTGAGGATGGACCCCAGGGTTTGCCCATTAGCCAAGAACTCTACCAACTAAGCTACAGCTTTTTGGCGTGGTGCGGTTTAGTTTGATTTGTTTTTTGTAAGAATGGGAATTAGTCTATGAGATGTGGTCTTGTAGCTCAGGCTGGCTTGACCTTGAACTGGTCCTCCTACTGCCTTCTACCACAACCCCAAATGCTGGGACTACAGGCCGCCCCACCCACATGGTGCCGGACCCAACAGGTTTGGTGGAACCTGGCAATCTGCATTTCTAACCAATTTGCTATTCTGGGGCAACAAGGGCTGGTGGTTGCTTTAGACAAACAGCTTCAAAAAGAAACAGAAAGGCCTCCCTCCATAAGCAACCCACTGAGTAACACTGGCACAGTTTGTCTACAGCCAACAAACCCAGCTGTGGTGGTCTTCAGCTAGGTATGGTGGTACATGACTGTAAACTCAACATTCTAGAAGCTGAGACCTGAATTCAAGGTCAGTCTGGGCTACGGAGTTGAGACCATGTCTCTAAAGCAAGAGTGAGCTGGAGGGATGGCTCAGTGGTTAAGAGTACTGGCTGCTCGACTCCTAGCACCCACAGGGTGGCTCACAACCCACTTCTAACTCCTTTTCTGGAGGGTCCAGCATGTCCTCTTCTGGCCTTTGTGGACACCAGGCATGCATGTAGCACACAGACACATAACAACTAGAAAAACTTAATTGTTTTCTGTTAAGGCAGTTATTTTAAAAACAGCTGAGAAACCAGCATGGGAACAAACCAGGACCCCTGAACGTGGGTGTCAGTTGGGGGTGTTGGGCAGTCTATGGAGCCTCTTGCAATGGAACCAGAATTTTTTTGTTTTTCGAGACAGGGTTTCTCTGTGTAGCTTTGGAGCCTATCCTGGCACTCGCTCTGTAGACCAGGATGGCCTCCAACTCACAGAAACCTGGCCTGCCTCTGCCTCTCAAATGCTGGGATTAAAGGTGTGTGCCACCAACGCCTGGCCTGGAACCAGTATTTATCCCTAGTGCACGAGTCCGTTCCCTATGGAGGGATACTCTCTCAGCCTAGACACATTGGGGAGGGCCTAGGTCCTGCCCCACATGAACTGACAGACTTTGATGATTCCCCCATGGGAGGGCTCACCCTCCCTGGGGAGTGGATGGGGGGTGAGATGGGGGATTGGTGGGAGGTATGGGAGGATGGGAGGGAGAGGGAACTGGGATTGGTATGTAAAATAAGATTGTTTTTAATTTAAATAAAATTTTATAAAAAAACAAATTACATTTTAAGAAGTTTATTGGGGGTGGTGGTGGTGTGGACAAGCTCCAGGAGGTAGTTCTCGCTTACAAGAGCAGCCAATGCTCTTAGCCACTGAGCCATCGTCTCTCTGGCCCTTCAAGGTGGTTCTTAAGTTACCTACAAAAACTGAATTTGACCAGAGTTCTGGTTC